ACAAAACAACCCTTTTTTCTTCAGACTTCAGTACCCAGATAATACACCTTTGTTTACAGATAAGGATCACCATGTCCATAAACATGACTGACCTGCAAGATCTACAACTACTTCTGCTGCTGACACAGCTTGGACACTAAAGCACTTCAGGCAGGCTCTGCCAAAATTCCTTGTTTCCCCCCACTTTTTACACCGCATAAAGTGCAAAAAAAAAAAAAAAAAAAAACTGGGGTGGACTATTCCTACCTTTTCTCAGAATTTTAGGCCATTTGATAGATTGTTAAAGGAAACCATGCAGGTCTCTTCTGTAATAAAAAAAAGCTTAGCTGCCTGATGGCACATTTTTAATTTCTACCTAATGTTTCACTTTAAAGCCGCTCTCCATAACATATCAACTTTGCGATATGCATTTAGCCAACTTGCTGCACTATTATACATGTAACTTCTTGCGGACAAGAAAGGTGGGCTTGTCGCATGTAGCCACTGCACATACTAATCCATTACAGTGTGCGATTGTGTGTTGAGAGCGAAGAGAGCTGTGTGTTCCATGTTCCCAGAACATTGACCCAGCTGTCATAGGCAGCTCTCGGTCAAGGGATAGGAACCAGGACAGGCTCCCAGTCACATGACTGCTGTGACAGCCAAACCACAGTAGCCACATGACATGGAAGCAACTCCTAGACATCCATAAATACCACCTAGAAGCAGTGGTAAGGGGTTAATAGGCCTTTTGAAAAAAAGCTAGAGTGCCTTATATTTAGGACCCCTTGTGTACATTAGCAGTAATCTGCAACTGTGTAAAAGTGTTCCAACAGTACCTCTGTATGGTGCTGGGTCATTACCTGTGACCAATTAAGGTTTTGGAAATAAAAGCAAAAAATTACATGTTTACACTGAGTCATCTGTTCCAATCTGCTCAAGACATCTGTGCCCTGGATGTAACTGAGGGGTATACAAAATGAGGAACTTCACCCTGCCTAGTTACAATCACAGCTCTGGGCCCTAATCATTGTAACTGTATGAAGATAAAATACTTACTATTCCATAAGGCCCAGAGGTACTCTTCCTAGCAGCCAAAAGAGTTCTTGGCTCCCGTGCTGCTAATTTGATAAGAGATGGGTCACAGGTGCAGGCAAGCAATGGGTCCACACCAGCTCAATCCCAGAGAATGCCTGCATATGCAGTAAATTGTAAAAAAAAAAAAAAAAAAAAAAAAAAAAAAAAACCCCACAAAAAAACAATGCCTGTGCCTTGGCCCATAGACTGGCAGAGATCCCCACACTCTGTGCAGCTCAGAGTCTCACTGGGTCCACTGACATGCATGTTTGCACAAGTGAGATTTGCACCAATAATCGCACCATCTGTTTAGATGAGGAATTATGAAGTGAGAAATGGAAAGTGAACTGAAAACGTATAAGTGTTCGTTCTGTTCACACAAGTGGATCTCCAGCACCCCTGTGAAAAGGGTTTGTGGATCATTTTTCAGGGCAGCTGAGCAGTGGCTGCCAGGCATTTAGGAAGCAACACTGCTGCCTCCTGAATGTCAATTTTGCTTCTTAATGGAAAGGGGATTTTCTATTGCATTACTGTGCAGCAACTGCATTCCAACAGTCTGACTCACAGTTTGTGCATGGCACCATTCAGCTTAAAGGAAAAGTTTGGGGTTTGTAAAAATAAATTTAAATACACATACCAGTGTAACACTGCAGCTGTTTTATGTCACTTCTAAGCACGAGAACTGAGCAATCACATGATCTTTAGTCACTCACTTCTCAGTCAGCTCTGAGCTGAGAGCAGTGACTGTCAGTCACCGCTCTGCTCTGACCCTCCAGCATTAGGCTGGTGAGGGCAGAGCTACCTTAGGCTCTCAGCCATGCACTGAAAGGTGGAGTCAACTGTCAAACAGCTAGGTGGATCCCAAAAATATCACTGGGATCCTTTTAGAACATGGGAGGGGCTGTGATGTCAGCTGATAGCAGGCAATAGCCAGCTGTCAGCAGGTTTTAAGTCACAGGAGAGCAAACATAAGGGCACTCTCGTAATCCAACAAAGAAAAAAAAAAGGTCCAAAAAAAAAAAAAAAAAAAATGGGTGTACCAACACAATGTTAGTGCAGCCATATCTGCAGGTAAGCTGTTGTATTCTGACAGGGGGAATCCCTGATCAGTGCTCACAACCATTGACTGCTATTCTAGCATGCCTGTTCGACAGCTGTGCACAGGCTGAAAATCAGCCAGTTCCTGCTGAATGTGCCAATTTCAGCCCATGTGTACAAGGCTTAAGGCTTCATTAAGCCTCTGTTTACATATGCGTTTTAGAACGCACTGAATCACATGACATGTGAAAAGTCTGTTTTCTACTGTGGCCTCTAAAATGCAGCATACCCGCAGTGCAATTTTACAAAATCGTACATGCACAGCCTGAACAAACCTGCACATCTAGCAAAAAAAAACGCTCCACAAACTGCATGGCATATATGTGAACCCAGGCTAACAGGGCTGTTTAAATACACATATACCAGCGTTTAAGGGCAGTTTTAAACCACAAAAACCCACTCCAGATCCATTCTGGATAGGTTTCTACATGCATTCTAGAAGCTTTTTTCCCCCCACTGCACTGGGGTCCGGTGTGTGTTTTACCACATTCCAATACAAGAAAAATGCGTGTGCTACTTTTTCTAGAACTGGAACGCACTGGTGTGAACTTTGCCACTGGATACCATATAATCTCCTTTCCATGCATGTTTGATGCAGCAAAAAAAAAAAAAAAAAAAAAAAAAAAAAAAAAAAAAAAAAAAGTGTATTTATATATATATATTTATTATACTGGACTGCATGTGGTGTAAACTGGCCCTAATTACAGATGTGAATGCAGCTGCACCATTTTCAATACAGTCATTCACACAGGTGTGTAAACATGAGCTGCTTCAGATACTAACCCATTACAACATGAGGTTGTGTGCTGACAGCAAGCTTTATGTGCATTCCCAGAGCACCGAAATTTTCATCTAAGAACGTGCTTATGCATCTACTTACATGTGCACACTTGTGTAGGTGCATAAATTAGGTCTAAACAGAGGAAAAATAAACTAGCATTTAAAAAAAAAAAAAAAAAAAAAAAAAAGGGGGTACACATCTTTACGTATTTAAGTGCATCTATATGTGAGCGTTTTACTGGTCACGCAGATATGTTCATCCTGGAAAACACAGGTAGTAATATTTTTATGGTCATGTGAATGCGTATTGGGACAATGGCCTTTAAACGCACATGAACTTTAATGGCATCCCAGTCTTAGTCCGTGGGGTTAAATATTGAGTTGGCCCACCCTTTGCAGCTATAACAGCTTCAACTCTTCTGGGAAGGCTGTCCACAAGGTTTAGGAGTGTGTCTATGGGAATGTTTGACCATTCTTCTAGAAGCGCATTTGTGAGGTCAGACACTGATGTCAGATGAGAAGGCCTAGCTCACAGTCTTCGCTCCAACTCATCCTAAAGGTTCTATCAGGTTGAGGTCAGGACTTTGTGCAGGCCAGTCAAGTACTTCCACCTCAAACTCGCTCATCCGTCTTTATGGACCTTGCTTTGTGTACTGGTGAACAATCATGTTGGATCAGGAAGGGTTCATCCCCAAACTGTTCCCACAAACCTGGGAGCATGAAATTGTCCAAAATGTCTTGGTATGCTGACGCCTTAGGAGTTCCCTTCACTGGAACTAAGGGACCAAGCCCAACCCCTGAAAACAACCTCATACCATAATCTCTCCTCAACCAAACTTTACACAATGCAGTCAAGCAAGCACCTTTACCCCTAGCAACCAGCAAACCCAGACACGTCCATCGAATTGCCAGAGAAGCTCGATTCGTCACTCCAGAGAACACGTCTCCACTGCGCCAGAGTCCGGTGTTGGCATTCTTTACACCACTGCATCCAACGCTTTGCATTGCACTTAGTGATATAAGGCTTGGATGCAGCTGCTCAGCCATGGAAACCCATTCCATGAAGCTCTCTATTATACAGGATTTATATGGTGCCAACAGTTTGCTCAGCGCTTTACAATATAATGGGAAACAATACAGTTCAATACAAGAGGGATAGGACTATCTCTCCATGCAGTGTTGTTGTGCTAATCTGAAGGCCACACAAAGTTTGGAGGTCTTTAGCTATTGACTCTGCAGACGGTTGGTGACTTCTGCGCTCCAGCATGCACTGACCCCACTCTGTCATTTTCCATGGCCTACCACTTCAAGGCTGAGTTGCTGTTCCCGCTTTGCTATAATACCACTAACAGTTGACTGTGGAATATTTAGTAGCAAGGAAATTTCATGGATGGACTTATTGCACAGGTGGCAACCTATCACGGTATCACGCTTGAATTCACTGACCTCCTGAGAGCGACCCATTCTTTCACAAATGTTTGTAGAAGCAGTCTGCATGCCTAGGTGCTTGATTTTATACACCTGTGGCCATGGAGGTGATTGGAACACCTAAATCCAATTGGAGGGGCATTACAATACTTTTGGCAATATAGTGTACACACACACACACACACACACATCTTAAGAGGGAGGGGGGGAGGCAAGAAGAAGTGATATGTATGGTGGAAGGGGTCTCTTGTATATGAATCATCCAGGTCAGGCCCCCAAGTTAAAGCTAAAAAGGAGATTGTCTATCCGATGATTTGTGAGATGACAAAACTGCCATCTGCGGATGTGTACAAGATGGAGGACTGGAGGTGCAGAGTACAGCCCAGTCTTCTCTTTATACCAGGGCCCTTTACACATGGAGAGGTGTCAGTCCGTACGGCCAGACAGACACCCGGCCAGTAACCACCATCTATGTGCCCATTCCCCCTGATATGACTACACTCATCCTCTATACATAGGCAGTCAGCAGCTACCCAGCTATCAGCACTGAGCCAGGCCTAGCCGGCACCCTCCGTCCACAAAGTCTTCTCATAGACAGCCCCCAGTACCGGGCGGCACCAGCTTCTCACGTCTCTTACCGAATGTAAGGTAGGCAGGAAACGGGCCAAAGACGGGACGGGCGGTAACGGGAAACAAACCACACAGGCTTCGTCCGAGAATTCCCCCTCTGCTGCTCGACGACCAGAAAAAGAGAGGCCGGAGCACCGCCCAGCTACGTCAACGGGGCGGGGAAAGGGAAGGGCGAAACCATCGGGACAGACATTGGAGGGGAGATGCGAAATATAGGCCTTTTAAAATGTGACAGCTTTGTATTGTGTGCTCATAGATGTTTCACTGTTTACTAACAATACGGTGGTATATCACCATACTGAGATGTGCGGGAAGGGGAGCCGAGCTGTAGCTCTTCGGTACATGATATAGGGACACGCTAACCCTCTATGTGGGTGTGATGTAGCCTATGGGGTGGAGCATTGGAGGGTCAGAGGGTAATTATACGGGAGATCGCGGAACCTGGAAGTAGGCGGGCCTTGCCTCCATCTTGGCCCATTGTTCCCATGGTGCTGTAGGCGGGACTGTGATAGCTGGGAGAGGCGAATATTGGAACAGGGCGGAATGTCCTGTCAGGGGAGAGTATAGAGTATATGGGGGTGGGGAATAACAGATAATATGGGGTGTCCATGGGCTGTACACATTGTTGGAATGAATGTTGTGGGAGTTGGCAGTTCCTGGTGTCACCTCCACCTATGTATGACAGTACAGCATGTGATTTCTGTGGTCCCGGTGTACTCCATTATTCACAGAGTAAATGTATGGACAAACAAATCTTTGGTGTTATGCAGGCTATAGACAGGTCAAAAACCAGCCATTTAAAAAAAAACGGTCGTTCAATAGGCCAATGTTACCACCAACAGTAAAAAAAATCGGCCGATCTTCGTCCCATCTAAATACTTCTGTCCCTGAAGAGAGCTCCGCTATTATATTTGACATGAGAAAGTATTATGGTTGCAACAAAGTATCTATTTGTATCCATTTTGGATACAGATGTTTTTTATTCAGATACAAATAGATACATTGTTGCAACCGCAATACTTTTTCATGTCAAATATAATAGCGGACTGGAATTCTTATTCTTCTTTTTCTTCGTCTTGCAGTCCACGGCTCATGCGCAGATTTTTTATCGGTAAAAAGATCGGCCAATTTGCCCATCATTGCCGGGAATATCGGCAAAATCGGCAGATTTTTTTCCAACTTCACTGATAAAAAAGATGTGCCAAAACCTCGAAAAACGGCCAACCAATTAACCCATTAACAGTGCGAAAATCAGCCGATTTTTTTTTTTTTTCGTCCGAAAAATCAGCCGATTTTCGACCCGTCTATGGCCTGCATTAGAGCTTGTTCAGAAACATCCAGAAGGTTTAACACCCTTCATGACCAGGGAAGTGTTTGCTATTCAGCGCTGCACTACTTTAACTGGTAATTGCTTGGTCATGCAACACTGTACCTGAATGAAATTTATATAATTTTTTTTCACACAAATAGAGCTTTCTTTTGGCGGTATTTGATCGCCACTGGGTTTTTTTATTATATAAATGAAAGACAAATTTAAAACAAACTTTTTTTCTACTTTCAGTTATAAAAAAATCATCACATAAAATCAAATTTCATTATAAAGTTAGGCAAAACTGTATTCTGTTACATGTCTGTTGAAAAAAAAAATACCAATAGGTGTATATTAAAGTGAAGTTATACCTGAAAAAAAAATAAAAGTCAGCAGCTATACAGTTACTTACCTGTCCCTCGGTCCAGTGGTGTCCTCACCACCGCTGGTTTCACCGGTTGTCTTCTCTCCCTGGCGCCAGCATCTTCAGTGTGGGCACTCTGCTGTGACAGCTTGCTGCTTCACAGATGGGTGCCCACTGCGCATGTGCGAGAAGTGCTGCGCTTTGTGAATGGCTCCATAGTCTTCTGGGACCGGTCACATGTCCCAGAAGACTATGGGGAGGGAGGGCAACTTCCAATCGCCTAGGTGATTGCAGTGGAAGTGGGAGCGGGTACCTGTCAAATTTGGGTACCCACCCCCCAAAGCTGCCAATCCTTAATGGGGATTGGTTGACAGAGGCTTAAAGCGGAACTTCCTCTTTTGGGTGGAGCTCCACTTTAATTGGTTTGTGTGAAAGTTATAGCGTCTACAAATTGGTATATATACTCAAGTTTATGCAGCTTTTAAAACTCACACGTGTGGTATCCCCATACTCAGGAGAAGAAGCAGAATGTATTTTGGGGTGTAATTACACATATACTCTCCGCAGAAAAGGGTTAGGGACTGATGTGAATGTACAATATATATGTAAAGCGCTGTGTAAATTGACAGCGCTATATAAGTACCTGAAATAAATAAACAAATGTCTAATTAAAGTGTCAACTTTGTGTAAAAAAAAAAAAGTTTTTTTTGTTTTACTTGGCATATCCCAGAAACTTGGGGCAAAAATAAAATCTTCTATGGACTCAACATGCTTCTCAGCAAATACCTTGGACTGTCTACTTTCCAAAAAGGAGTCATTGGGGTTTTAACTGTCCTGGCATTTTTGGGCTGAATGAAAAAACAGATTACTCCATTCACATTGATCGATGTGGATGAAGAAATCTCTGCCAGAAAAAGTGTATGCCCAACATTAGATGCTTTTGCCACACATCCACCTCAAACTTCCAATGTTGGGCATGCATGTAATGTTTTTGGGGGGGGTTTTTTGGTTTATCCTGTGGGCTGAACAAAAAAAAGAACCTAACAGATTCCTCCATTCACATTGATCAATGTGGATGAAGAAATCTCAGCCAGAAAAAAGTATGTGCCAAAAAACTGTCTTTTATTTAAGGATAGTGATCATATGAAGTCATTCATTATCATATAATTGTTTGGCTCCTTTCTAAATGATAATGATAACAGAAATCAAAAGTTTACATACTGTCAGGAATCTCGTACAGCAGATGCTCATTTCTGTGCAGCAGGTGCTTATTCTTATGAGTATGTGCAGAATCGTGCGCATAAAAGCCTAAGACGAGGAAGGACTAGAATGCGCACATGAACGAGCATTAGCACATATGTGCACGCACATATAGGCATGCGCACGCATCCACAGATTATGGTGCCCAGTAGCCTATTTAAACTGAGAGTCTGCCTGGCTTCTGTGCTAGATTGTCTTCAGCTCTAGTTCCTGTGTTCCTGATTCTTGAAAATCTGCTAACTTTGTTCCTAACCTGGCTTCATCTGACACCTCTCTTGGATCATCCCTACCTGTTCCCTACCTGTTATGTCTGCCGCTCGCTTGTGTTACGGAGCTCGTTTTGGATTCATGACTACGTCTCTGCCTCCTGACCTTGCTGCCAGCACGTTACCAATTTCCACCTGTTTCTGAGCTTGAACTTTACCCTGCACCTGTCTACCTGGCTGCTGGGCTGCTGCTGAACAAGGCTTGTGACCAGCCTCGATACTACCATTGGAAAGACTCCTGTCCACTACAAAAGCTTCCTGGCACCCGTGCCCTTCCACTGCTCAACAGTTCCTGTCTCCACTACCAGGGGTGCTTGGATAGGAATTGCGCAAAAGGCCACCCTCATCATGTCGGGATCCACTGTCAGGTACGTGACAGTACAATCCAACCATATGGAGCCCGAAAGGGGGTCTCACCCTTGGAGGCCCTATGCCAGCAGTATGCTGTCAGGGCTTGCAAAATGGCTACCGTCAACTGGAGCAAAGGGTGGAGTCTCTCTCTCCGCATCTACCTCAACACACCAGACAGCAACATCACCCACAAGCTCTGCTCAGGCAGCCACAGCGCAAGTACCCACAGTAGTGGTTCCTCCACCAGAGCACAGAGTTCCTACACCTGAGAGGTTTTCAGGAGACCACAGCAAGTTCCATGCTTTCTGAAATGCCTGCTGGTTACACTTCCTGTTGCAACCTCGCACCTTCTCATTGGAGAGCACTAAAGTGGGGTTCCTTATCTCACTACTTCAAAAGGAACCACAAACATGGGCTCATCGCTTGATGGAACAAATCAGTCCTCTTCTGAAAACCATGAACTAATTTTTTGATGAAATGGCTAAGCTGTATGATGCCCCACAACACACAGCAACAGCTGAGTCCACCCTACATGCTCTCCAGCAAGTCAAAGATCGGTAGAGGACAATGAGGCAGGCTTTAAGCGGTGGAGTTCTGATACAGAATGGAACGATGCCACTCTTCGTTACCAGCTCCACCTGGGAATTTTAGGTTCACTAAAAGATCAACTGGCTCGAGTTGGGGTACCCTGCTCCTTGAAAGCCCTTATCCAATTATCTATTCAGATCGATTGTCGTCTGAGAGAGCAAAGATCTGAGAGGAAGAGCCAGCTATGTCGCACATGGATGTTACCAAACGTGCCTGCTAATCCACCTGCTCCGGCTTCATTATCTCCTGCTGTTCCTGATATTCCTGAACCTATGCAACTGGGCCTTCTTTGGTCTCTCCTATCACCAGAGGAAAAGCTATGCCGTCACTAGAATAACCTCTGTACTGTGGAGGAGCCAATCACTATGCTAGCACTTGCTGTAACAAGACTCGTAAGTCTTATTCTTTTCCTTATAATTTCTGTCCTTTGACCATGACAAGATCTGCTTACATCGCTGTTCTTGTTTCACTACAGCTTCCAGAAGGAACACTCAAGGCTCAAGCTAAAATTGATTCTGGTGCATGCAGTTGCTCATAGACCCTGCCTTCACGCAGCAACATCACATCCCTCTACAGCCCAAACAACAGAGACTCTCTATGTGTTTAGGTGACAGATCAAGTATTAAATCAGGACCCCATCACCCATGAGACAGCCCTTGCCTGCCAAAATCTTGCCAGACCACCAAGAACTGCTATGCCTAGACATAATTTCCTCCCGTTGTTCCCAACCATCCTGGGTATGCCATGATTGTAAGCTCATAACCCCAAATTTAACTGGACTACCAGTGGGGTTACCTTCCAGTCTTCTTACTGTTTGCAGAACTCTCAAAACTCCACAACATGCTTCTCCAGTTATTTGTTAAGTCCTGTACTTGAATTACATAAACTCGTTCCACCAGTGTACTACGAGTTCTTGGACGTGTTTGATAAACAAAAGGCAGACATTCTCCCTCCTCATTGGGCTTATGACTGCCCTATTGAACTGTTACCAGGGGCAGAGGTTCCATT